TTATATATCAAAAATTTCATGGAAGAACTTATGCTTATTTTCCATATCCAAACTCCCATCTAACCAAAATTCCCAGTCAATAATTATATAATTCTGTCCTCTACATTTCAGCTGCTACAGGCAAAACACCATGATATCCATAGGCACATTTGTAATTTTCACTGTTTCACAAACTCTGATGTGAGTACAGCTTTTATAAGATGCAATTATCTAGATTAGATTATTAGCTGGGACCAAATATTGGTTCTAGAAGAACCAAAAACAAATGGAGCAAGAACATTCAAGCACAATAACAAACATCAAGGACAATCGGCTCATAAAATGAAAATGCTGATCTTCCGCAGAACTTGAGTTATGTATCAGTTCCATCATTACGAAACAGTGTTAACATTCAGCTCAACAATTAATCAAATATGGCTACAAACCACTCAAAAGACTGCAAGGCATGAAGAATTGATGGGAGCCAACACAAACTTTCATACTGCAAAATTATTTGCAAAGAAAGCAACTGAAAGAGTGTAGCTTCATTACTTAGAGTTCACTATGACCAAGCTCATACTTACCAATATAGAAAAGTGTTTAACACAAAATTTGTATCTACTTTTAAACTCTCCTACAACGCAACATTTCATGAGCCAAATACAAACTAATCTATATTGTGAAGTGCTGTTTCGTAAGTACCTGTAATAATATTAATCTTTTCTTCTAACAAATAACGAATCATATAAACCTGCATAACATTTCTAAGAAGTCCTTCCCTCTCTCTCTAATATGACCCCATAATGGTATATTTGAAATTCTCAATTTCTAAGACGAATATTAAGGGTAATCATTATTTTACACATAAAATCAGTATCTATAACTGTGTCATCACACGACATATCTGTTTCTTTCCACAGCATACTAACTGTAGTTTAATTCTTTCGGTCAAAGTGACGGGCTTAATTTTACGTTTACTTCCACCTCAGAGCTGAAGTACTGACACGTTCAACCATAACCCAACTGCAGAACTGCAGCGACTGCATCTGCACCTCTAATAAGGGTCTATATGATTTCAATTTATATGTTCCCGAAGCTGTACGATGAACAATATTTTTCAAGTACACTCGTCTCTGCTTACTGAACAAATTTATATCAAATCACCACAGCATACACAGAAAGCTTTTACATTACAAATATACCACACATGTAACGTCACACTACCTCAACGTACGTAAATATTACTAATTAATTAAAATCCTGTAACCTTAACTGAATTTAACATATCCAAACTCCCCATTGCCCCCCCCCCACCTGTAGCAATCTGCCCAACCTGACGAGCAAATCAAAACTAATTCCACAAACAGGTAGCACCGGGTAGCACTTACCATGCTTACCACTACATCACACTTTTGCTGTTTGAAGCGAACTAAATTGTCATTGGCCCTAATTCTGCAACGCTTACAGCGATTGTGATTGGTCGATATAATCACGTGGTTTGGCTATTGGACTTTCGTGACATCTGTCGTTGGGATTATGACACTATCTGCAGATGGAGGCAGGTTTTGAACTGCTTTTGTATATTGCTAAGATACACTAGATCTCAGCTGACTAGCCTTGACAGTTACGCTGTTTTCAGGCTAGTTGTCATGTGCAGCAGCAATGACCAGGCTAGGTTATTCATCAGGAATATATATGCTTGTTCCACCATCATTAATCTAGCCACTTCAAGTCCCTGTCAGAACCTAAATTCTATGATAATTAGACTGTTCTTGGGCTGGATAAATTTTGGCCTGCTTGATGTGGGTGAGGGATTGGAGTAATGGGCTATTTAAGCCTGGAAACATGGCAAAATTAGGCTTTTCTCTTGCCTTAGCTAGGGCTCCTGCTAGTCTGGCTTAGTTATCCTAGGCAAGGCTCAAGGTGGCTGAATGCCCTGGCTGTCCAGTTCAGACTGAACATCTCACACTAAGGCTAGCTAGACTGGGCTCAGGCTACATGACTTAGGTGGGGCATCTTTCTAGGTTAAGGACTATGGAAAACTTGGATAGGCTGTACTGGTAAAGAAAAGAAAAAGAAGCTAAATCTATCCCATTAACAGGCTGTGCAGGCCAGTAGTGTTGTAAGTTTTCAAGGCTTCAGCATTTTATAGAGAAGACTCAGTAATCATCTGTATGATATCTCTGCACTCTTAACTAATAAAATACGGGCAGAAAGAAAATGTATATTGTATGGGCATATCTGGTATCAGAAGAAATTTTTATTCAATAGGAAAATAAAATTTATTTCCTGAAAAATCCTACTCTTGAAGCAGCTGTATGTTCATATTTCACAAAATTGCAGAAAACATAAGATGGTAGGTTTTCCTGGATTTCATCCTTGTGAATAAAGTAATATCCATTTTTGTTACAACATGAAACAGGTTGAGAAGCACAAACTTATAGGATTCTTCAGCAGTTTCACAGTAACATTCCTTCTCTAACAAACATCACTACTCAAAGTTGTAGATATGGTTCAATGTCAGTCAGTATCCACATGAGTGTGAACAAATTTGTTCATATTCATGTATTCCAGAACAAAGAGGAAGATATGCCACTTTCTGATGTGATAAGGGCTTCAGAGAGTTTACAAATTACACAAAGCATTATAAATCTTATGAATTCTTGTTAGAGGTCTCATTCGACTACAGTAATGCAGCCAGGGAATTATAAATAGCTTACTTCAACCCTGTACAAAAGGCCAAATCTCTTTTTCCATGTTAATTTGTGTTGTGCCACGTTTCTGGCACATCTTAGTGAATTGCTGATGTAAATGGAGCTGTTTATACACAGCCACACAATTCATTAGTGGTTCACTAAGAATTTTTTCCATGATTGTTTGTGACATACCATTTTTTTTGTATATCTTAGTATACTACTGATTTAAACAGAGCTGTTTCCACACAGCCACATGAGTGATCAGTGGTTTGTTAATATATTTTCTAGGAAACTTACGAACAGTCCCACAGGTGTAAATTTGGTACTAAAAATTAAATTACAAAATCTTGATTTATATGTTTTCATTTATACTGAAGATGAATCTATCCTATTAATTAGTACAGTAAACCACAATTACTTGGCATGTATAGAGAATGGGGTCTGCCAGTTACATGAATCTGCTGCTTTCATGAGAAAAGTTCTTGCAGAGACCTAATTTATAATCAAAATATCAGATTCTTGCTTTAGTTCTTACATGGACTACGAGTATTCCCATACAATACTGCAGATTGACAGGTGAAAGATTTTGAATTCACAAGATCACAAATTCAACTAGCCTCTGCATAATGGGTAGTGCTGCTAGTGGAACATGGGAGGACTATTGTATAGTGAGTGAAAATACACTCATAATTTTTAATTATTTTAATGACTTTATAATTTTCTTAGAAATTTTTACCGGCTGAATGGAAATCCTGGATGCCTGGATACCAAACAAACAGGAATTTACTGTACTTGTAAATTTTGTAATCGCACAATAAGCCTCATTGCACATACAGCAAAGATAATAGCAAAAATACTTAAAAGAAGAATCGAAAGGAAAATAGAGGATATACTTGCAGAGGATCAGTTTGGATTTGGAAGAGGAAAAGGAACCAGGGATGCAATTGGGATGATGAGAATTATAGCAGAACGAACTTCGGAGATAGATGAAGAACTGTGTCCTTGCTTTATAGACTGGCAGAAGGCATTTAACCGTGTAAATTGGACCAAATTAATGCAGATCCTAGAGGAAACAGGTATCGATTGGCGTGGAAGAAGATTGATTAGTAAACTGTACATGGATCAGGAAGTTAGAGGGCGACTGGACAGAGGGGAGACAAGAAGTGCGAAGATTGGAAGAGGAGTTCGACAAGGATGCTGTTTATCACCAATTTTGTTCAACTTGTACAGCGAATGCCTTACCAAAGAAGCTCTGCACGGGCTTGGAGACTTCAAACTAGGAGGGCAAATTATTCAAACTGTGAAATATGCAGATGACCTTGTGTTAATGGCTAAGGAAGAAACTGTGCTACAGGGCATGATTGATAGACTAATTGAAATTGGAAGGTGCTATGGCATGGAAATGAATGTGGAGAAAACAAAAGTAATGAAAATTTCGAGACAACCAACCCCAGTCACAATAAAGATAGACCAAAAACAACTGGAGAATGTGAAATGTTTTAAATATTTGGGTAGCTTGTTAACAGATGATGGAAGGTGTACTTGTGAAATTAAATCCAGGATTGCCATGGCAAAAGCTGCATTTAGCAAGAAGAAGAATCTTTTTACCAGCAAATTGGACTTAAATTTGAGGAAGAAACTAGTGAAATGCTACGTTTGGAGCATTGCTTTGTATGGGGCTGAAACTTGGACACTTAGGGCAATAGATCAGAAACACCTGGAAAGCTTCGAAATGTGGTGTTGGAGAAGGATGGAGAAGAACAGTTGGACCGATTATGTGAGAAATGAAGAAGTGTTATTTAGAGTCAGCGAGCAGAGGAATACCCTACAAGAAATAAGAAAATGGAAGGCTAATTGGATTGGTCATATCTTACGTGGTAACTGCCTTCTAAAAGAAGTTATTGAAGGAAAGATAGAGGGGCGGATAGAAGTGGCAAGAAGACGAGGAAGAAGACATAAGAAGATGCTGGATGACCTTGGGGACAGAAGAGGATATTTTCATTTGAAAGAGAAAGCTGTAGATCGCATCAAGTGGAGGAACTCTTTTGGAAGAGACTGTGGACCTGTCGTCTTGACAGATTACAGATGAATGAATGAAATTTGTAACTCCAACTCAGATGGTATACCTACTTCTTTCTATGGATCTACAATAATATTTTCATTCTGGTACACATTCACAATGTACACACCCCATTTATTGTCACACATCACAGAGAGCAGAAATCAGCACACAGTTTTGGCATAACAAGAACAGTTCTTTACAGTTTCTCATAATGAGTTGTCACAGGCAAGATGGTAAAGCAGTAAAATAATGTCCTATCTTCAAATTAAGATCTCTGTGTCACAGATATCTCATCTTCACGGCTTTGTGGGATCAAAGAATCTTCTAAATGCTGTTACCTTCTCCTATCTGACATTAGTCTTCTCTTGATGAGGTTCCAAATAAACTGGAGTGATATTTTAAGGTTTGAATTTTCTGAAATAAACTGTCATGCTTGTTCATAACCTCATTGTTACAATGCCTGAACGTAAAATATCAGAGTCAGAAACAGGTATGGATGTAGTCCTAAAAGTAAAAAGCTGCAGCACTCTGGCACACAGCTCCAAATTGAAATAAATGGGCAGGAATCTTGAGTCGAGGCAGTTCTCGTCATTAACATAATGCTAACTTTGCTCTTTTAATTGCAGAAACCTTTAAAACACTGATCATGAAAACTGTGTCTTTTAAAGAGGCTGAGAATTTTATTTCAGGCATAGAGATCAAAAATGAAATAATGTAAAGGGTTTTTACATTTATAGTCTGTAAAACCTTAAATAAAAACACTTTTGAAATGATCCTTTCAAGAATTTTCATGAATACAGAACTGTATTATTGAAGCAAAATTGCAATCTGTGAAGAATGAATGAAAGAAGCATAGATTTTAATAACAAGTATTGAAGTTTGACAACACTGTCCATAATAGAAGTGTTAGGGCAGTGCCCCATCATCCAAACAGCAACAGGGAACCATCCTGGACCACCCTGAATTAACTGCAAACCTAAAAACAAGGTATAATTTTGGAACCAACTTATATCAAACTATGCAATCTGAGATGCATGGGATAGTGAATACTGCAGTCTTCTGGTGTCTGATGGTCTGTAGCTTGTTACATAGCAACATGACAGAAGAACCTGCTGCCTGTCATCATGAACTGCCCCAAAAAACAGATCATCTCTGACCATACATCATACCTTGGGTAGGCAACCTTATGAAGAAAATGGGATCTCCAATAACATGATTCAGGTTCCAACTGTGTGTTGAAAGAAGAACCTAGTTAACTTCTGATGATAAATAACAATCTACAGTAGGATATGATAATGATGGACCCTCGAAAGGATTGATCATTTCACTGAGACTTGTATTAGCATTACAGTATTCATATTTGTGTTTCTAGAAGTCTTACTTATGAATACTACGAGTACGGCACTCCAATGACAAGCATTTCACTGCCCTTCATATGCAGTCTCCACATACTCTTGTGATGACCTCGAATATCAAGGTGCCAGATCTTGAGGCACTGAAACATCAACATAGGAATTTTTATCATGACTGAATACAGAGCAAAATCCACTTAAGAAAGAAACTTCTACACACGCTCACTATGTTCTGCTTTGTTGCACATACTTAATTTCAATAACTTGAATGTACTACAAATATACAGTACATGTGAAATGGGTAGTAAAAATGGTAGGATAAGTAAGCGCTGTGAGGTGCTGCTCTCTAGAGGAACATTATGACGATTATTAATCAGAGGAGGTAGGGTGAAGAGGAGGAGGTTGGTGGAAGCAGGAAGCAGGAAGAGGAGGACGTGTTTGGAGGCAGAAGGAAGAGAGAGAGAGTTAGCTCTCTCTACCAACAGCACAGCATGTCTGAACAATTACCTTGGCTACTTGCAGCCACATTACAAAGTCTTTTGGTCCTTCTATTTTGATGAACATTATTATGATTTCACATTGAAACAAAGAAGAAAATATTCAGATACATATATAACTTACTTACTTACTTACTTACTTACTCATGGAGCTGAGCCCTTCTGGAGGAGCCGCCAAATCTGCAGCTACTCAAGAATTTCCCAGCATTTTATGGAACCCGGAAGTTCATTACCGTGTTCACAAGAGCCCTCCACCGGTCCCTATCCTGAGCCAGATCTATTCAATCCATACCATTCTATCCTATCTCTCTAAGATCCAGTCTAATACTGTCCACCTACCTATGCCTTGGTCTTCCCTGTGTTCTCTTTCCTTGTGGCTTTCCCACCAATATCCTATACACATTCCTCGTCTCCCCCATTCGTGCTACATGACCTGCCCACCTCATCCTCCTTCACTTGATCATTCTAATTATACTTGGAGAAGAGTACAAGTTATGAAGCTCCTCATTATGCAGTTTTCTCCAACCTCCTGTCACTTCATCTCTCTTCGGTCCAAATATTCTCCTCAACACCCTGTTCTCAAACACCCTCAGTCTATGTTCCTTCCTTAATGTCAGAGACCAAGTTTCACACCCATACAGAACTACAGGCAAAATTATAGTTTTGTATATTCTAATTTTCATGTTTTTGGACAGCAGACAAGAAGACAAAAGGTTCTGGACTGAATGGTAACAAGCATTACCCGAGTTCAATCTCCTCTTAATTTCCTCCTGAATCAGGTTTTGATTTGTTATCGTTGTTCCCAAATATCTGCACTGTGCCACATTTTCAAAACATCTGTTTCCTACCTTTATGTCATGATTTTGCCCTGCATTTTGGTGACAATACAGTAACATATACTTAGTTTTCTCTGTGTTTACTTCTAGATGAACCTTGTTACTTGTGTCAATTAAAGTTTGTGTGTTTTTCTTTATGGTATCTACATTATCACCCAGTAGATTCACATCATCAGCGTAGACCAACAGCTGATGTGTCCCGTTTAATTTCAGTCCCACCTGGTTTCCCTGGACCTTCCTAATTGCATATTCTAAGGCAAAGTTGAAAAGGAGTGGCGACAAAGCATCTCCTTGTTTTAGACCATTCTGGATAGGACATTTATCAGACAAATGTTTACCTACATGGACTTTACCATACGTTTAATTTAAACACATTTATAACTTACATCTTATTAAATATTCAATTGGCCTTAAAATAATGAACATGTTGTAATGAGAAACAGACGTACGTATTTGTATGGTTTGAGGTTTTCACGGCAATGAAGATACATTCTGTGATATCTGTGTTACACCACATTGTAATCTGGAAGGCTGGTCACAGTGTTTCAGCGAAACATGCTACTGTGACATGTTGATCCCTACCGCCCCAGCTCCACGTAGCGGTAACTTAACGATCGCGTAATAGGCGAGTAATCGCCCCGCAATGCTAATCAACAGCGGTGACGTCACGAGCGGAGCCGAAGATAGCCGAGCCCCCGTAACCTGGTAACTATGCAATGCTAATCAACAGCGGTGACGTCACACTAGCAACAGCGTCCTGGGCTATACGCCACGTCACACTAGCAACAGCGAAAGGCTATATAAGCGGACTCCACAGCAACCACGATATAGTTGAAACATAGCAGCCTGCGAGTGTGCGATAACGAAGAAGTCAGCGAGCGGAAGACTTATTGTGTGCTTTCGATACTTAGTGAGTGCTGTATTACAGTTTTATTCGGAGTGTGTAATTCAGGGAGACGTGTATAGCTCCCGCATTATTAGTACTTGAAGTTTCGTGAAGATTGTGTTAAGAGATTTTGTAGTAGGGTTTGTAAACTGTGGAAACCCGCAACTGTGTGATAATTAATTGTAGCCGATAGTTGTAGATTGTTGAATAAACCAATTAACGATCTCCACGGCGTCTTCGGTAACGAAACACGTTACA